AAGTCCAAAGGAAAATCAGACAGGAATGTATGACCCACCAGAAGAAATACAGTACATTGGGTCTTTGTATGAACAATCTTACCTCAGTCAGGATTCCTTTTATGGATACTTGTTTGTAAAACACAAATTAAATATTAGTTTGAAAGTCAACATAAATAATCACTCCTTAAAAGGCTCTGTAATAGAAAAAAATCAGAGCCATCCTCCCTCCTCTGCCAAAATCAGGGCTCCTTGGTAGAGTAGGAAGGGGGGATGACCACTCTTTCCCAGTAGCTCATCCCTATACACCCTCCATATCCCATTGGGATGCTAGTCTAGCTATGAACCCTGCTCCAACACACCTCTTGCTGGCCTCTTCCTGCTGCTGATACAACACTGAGCCAGATCACGCTACACCTCTGTCCCTTGCCCACCCAAATCACACTACGAGTTTCCATGAACGTACCTTGGTACCACACAAAAAAAGGTCTGTGCCAGTTTATGCTGCTATTTGCTAGTCAGACGTCTACCCCGCAGCCTTGTCATATAGTAAAACGATACAGGGATCGAGTCACACATCAGATAAGCTGCCACACTTTCTGAGTTCTTCCTACATTTTTTTTCTGATGCCTATAACATTATCAGACTCCTCTCCTGTAGCTCTTAAAAAATGACACCGTGACAACTGTGAGGTGCTTTGTCCACATCCTTGAGGGTCCCTGACAGTCTGAACCTTCTCAAACGGTTCTAATCCATATCTAGCACAAGTTGGGTCCCAGTTAGGTTTCGTGTTTTTATTTTGCTTTGTCTTAGTTCTTAGTTTAGCTCAATGGACAGTGGAAACTACTGTTATTTAGAAAATGAGAAAGAGTTGGGCGTTGAGTTAGCTATACTAACAAATGGAGGCCACGGCCTTTAGTTTAATCAGTGCTTTGATGTGTCTATCTTTGGGCAAACACTGTTTCCTGCTATAGCCTGTGTCCTTGGAGGGCAGAAACAAGCCCTTACTCACAAAGTGCACATTCCATATCATCTATACCAGAAGTAGACGCCCAACCTATTATGCTGAATGTCCAAACTGGGTAGTCACACTAATATCTGGCTACATTTTTAAAAAGGTATCATGTATATATTTGCAAAGTAACAGCAACAGGACACAACCTAGCTTTCAGAGGAAAGTCAAAAGAAAAATGATTTCCTTCCTCAAATGACTCTACCAAGAAAACAGACTCTTCAAAACTTACCTTCAGTATTGGAATTTTCATTCTAATCAGACAATTTAACTTAGGAAAAAGAGCAGGGCTTAATTTATATACCCTACCACCCCTTTGTCTAGCATGGGAAACCACAGAAGAGTTGCTTGCTATCCTAAGTTTCCAGTCCAAATGGCACCCTTCAGGAAGACACAGCAGGATGCTTCCTGCAACTTCTGACTTCTCCAAAATAGAATGTACAACATTTTAAAAGAAGAAATACCAAATACGTACAAACTGTAGCATATTATATAGACATTGTGTGTGTGTGTGTGTGTGCGTGTGTGTGTGTGTGTGTGTGTGTGTGTGTTTACAGGTGTATGTATGGATGGATGGATCAATATCCAGATTGCTAATAGCCAGGACACCACTGGTTCTGGGATTCAACCCAAATAAGCAAACAATGAGTAAACTGTGGCAGATGTCAGGACCACTCTGCCCTATACAAAAAGTCCTTTTTATTAATAAAAAACACAAAAGAGATGCAAGAAAGCCAAGGACCAGAAAACACTGTATACAATATTTACAAATAAAATATTTGCCATTGGCTTTGTTTTGAGTTCTTAATGATCTTCTGTACTAAATGTGGAATTACATGCATGCACACACATGTATCCATAAATGTGAGATATACACATATCACACATACAATCGCATATAAATGAACAGAAGAAAAATGAAAAATTAACACTCTAAAAATCAGGTTTCAAGCCTTTGTATCCCCAAACCACATTTATCTCTCCATCATCTTTCCTCCCAGCTTCCCACTACCTGGTCCTTGCCTCCTTTTATTCCCTCCTTTGTCTCTGAATTCTTTCACATGTGGTCTTTTAAAGTGGCAATCAGAATTATATATAGAACACTTTATCATAAAAATTTTCAAGTATAAACTAAATGTACTTTGCTGATTCAATTATCTAAACAAATAAACTCTTGGTTAAAATATAAACATCTGGCCAACTCAGCTGTCCAAATAAAGTAAAATCTCAGGATACAACAACCAGATGTCATAAAACATTACCAAGGTCTTAAGTTAAGACGCAGGACCTCTCTTTCTAGAAGGTTTGATGGGAGAGGCTTTCTGTATTTTGGAGTATTTGCAGGGACTTGACGGGCTGAATATCCCTAATTCCAAAATCTGAAAGCTGACATGTTCTGATTTCTTGACTGCCTGGATGGTCCCCTGTTACTCAGAGGGCTTCAGATTCGGGAAGATTCTAGATGCCAAGTTATGGCTATTTCACTTTAGTCCCAAACACGAAGAAAAGCTTCACCACTTTCTTGGTCAGCATGTCCTGCTTTTCCTTTCCAAATCCTCCCATGCTTAAGCTGCTATTCAGAAAGTCATATGTTGGAGTTTGTTCCTTACTGTAGCTGCTGTGGTCTGAACACTTAGGTCTCCCCTGATTCCTGTGTTGAAATCTAATACGCAATAGGAGAGACTCTGGGAGGGTGCATGAAAGAGAGTCCACAGTCACTGGAAATGGAATCCGTGTCTATAGACTGAGGCCACTTCCTTCTCCCATGGATGGACACAGGCGAAGCCATTGTCTGTGAACCACGGAACAGCCCCTAACCAGGGAACATTAAATCTGTCAACACCATGATCTTGAATTTCTCAGGCATTTGTATTATGAGGAATTGATCCCTGTGGCTTATAAAAAAGTTGCCTTCAGAAATTTTTGTGTAGCAGCTTAAGAAGACAAAGACACTGGCTTTCTAGTGAATTGAACATAAAAATGTTTCTCCCCTTTACCTAAATGCGATAATAAATCTTTTCTGCCCACCCTCTTTGTCGCTATTATTTTATCTTTATATTCAGAGCAAAAAGGAGTAGAGACCCCTCCAAGGATGCCTGCTAGATGTTCTACAAGATCCTGCCTTCATTACAAAATACAAACATCCTCCTAAGAAAAACTGTATCCTGTTGCACTCCCATAACTACTGCTGTACTGACTACGAGGCTTTTTCTTCCTCACCTAAAGTTACAGGTAACTTATTATTGATTTCCACACATCTTCATATCTGTGTCCTGAAGAAAGCTACAATGTCATCTGGAGCCTCTCTAGAGGGGCCAGTGGGTTCTTCACGGAATCAAGGAGTGAAGGTCCTTAGACTATATACAGGATTAGGTCTCAAGGATTAAAACTCAGGAACCCAGTTTTTAGGCAATCTGTGCTTTCTTCCAGGCCAAGCTAATCAAACAAGGATGGCTGAGTCAGTCCAGAAAACACATTACCCATTTATTTTATGTTCCCTTTGAGCTGTAATTATCACCTCCATCAACACCTACTGGGCTCACTAGTGAATTTAACACAAAATCTTCACTGGAAGCTGGACATTATCATGTGAAAAAAAAAAGAAAACTAAACCTAATAAAATATCATGTCATTTATTCTTATTGTTGACAAGTAAATGTAATCATAAGATATTAGCAAATGCTCGCACATTGTCATTAATGTACAGGAGGCAATTATAGTCAAGCTCTAAGATGCTTTTGCTGCTGGAAACTCTTAACCAGTCTTTAAATACTAATTTTATTTTTAGAATTTCAGCACTAGAGAAAGCCCAGCACCATCATGTCTTTTGTATCATTAGGAAGAGATAACACAGGACTCTATCTGATAATATGGAAACCAAGGTTTACTCTAATGTGCACACAGTAGGTTTATGGCCTGATTGAGTGACAATGGCCCAATACAGAGCTAATACCAATAGGAAAAATGCTTTCTGCTGTCTAACTGTACAGGATCAACACTGAAACTGCGAACCAGAAACAAACTGTGGATAATGTCCATTTGTTTGGACTAGGGGGTCCTCAAGGAGACCTTTTCAATTGGCAAAGGTCTATTCTGATAAGCAAGGAAACACATTGCTCTACTAACAGCCACATGCAGATATGTTCTTCAGGAACAATAGCAAAAGTATATTAACATCCAGAAGACGAAAAACACAAGTGTCCATGAAACACTTTCAATGTCTCCGTTCTTTCATTTATTCTGCATTGAAATATTTTCCCTTGCCAAGTTAAAAATATTTTTTTTAAATAAACATTTTTAGCTTCACTGAAAATCAAAGCCTGCACTCTCAGCATATACACAACAGATTTAATTATCTAGGTATTAGATGCTCTGTTTAAAATTAGATTTAATTCTTATGACATAAGAGTAGCATACTTACAGCAAAATGCACATCTTTCTAAGAAGAGCCAAAGAACAGGCACATTCAGGAAGTAAACCCCAGACACAAGCACCATAGGAAGGAGACCAACTTGGCCTCCTTGGTCTAAGCAGTGCTTCTCACACTCCGATGTGGGCCAGAACAACTCAGGGGACTTAAACCAAACATGGAATGCTGGGTCTGACCCCGGGGATGCTGATTCAACAGTTGTAGGGCAGAGTCTGAGAACCTGCATTCTAGCAAGTTCCCGGGTGCTGATGAGAGCACCCTTCACTCCATTTCACTTGGACAGGGCTGCCACCCCCTGTGGGAGGCTGAGGACACTCTGTCTAACCTTCCCTTGTGGTAGGGTTTCTGCTGACAAAACACTGTCAATTAACTGTATTTACATCACTTTCGAGATCACAGTAGCTCAATTTTGCAGACAATCAGTGAAAATAAGCATGTTTCTATGCACAGACAAATCTTTAATCCCTTAAGGAAGCCCAGATGAAGTGTAAGGCACCTGAAGGCTCATTGGTGGGTGGGACCTTTATTTACTGTTCTCTACAGTGCTTGGTGCAGAGTGGTTTCCACGCCAGGCCTTACCTGTGACTGGAGCATCAATATCCAGCAGGTTCTTCTCCTGCCGAAGAATCGAAGCACCCTCTGTGATTATTCTCAAGGCGACACTTTCTTCCAGCCTGCCCTCCTTCATGAGATGTGCTTTTAAGATATCCACACGCGGCTTCCCATCATTATCAAACACTTCCTTTGCTGTCAGCCGGTGACTTGGCGGAAACGGAACAGCTGAAAGGGGCAAAGTCAAAAGGTTACATTCACCAAAGCCCAACCACAGCAATTTGATGACCACCGAATAACTACTCCATCGCTAACTAGTTAATGCTGTATTTAATGCATTCTTTGAATTAAAACTCAAGCAAGAATTAAAGAACGCCTTCTTCCTTTGATTCTAGAAATAATTAGTGACCACTGAAAACGGCTTATGGTTCTTCTCCGTCAGTACTATTGTTTACATAGGATTTTCTTTTATCTTTATCTTTAAGGAGAAAACTTCCTGTTAGGCAATCACTGATTCCATAAATAAAAACGGATCCTAAACATCTGCTTGTAATCCACCCCAGCAAAGATGGTTCTGCTCTGTTAGGACCAATGGGAAGGATAAGACAACTCAACAAGCTTGTCTATTGCCACTGAAGTGTCTTCGCTGAGCCCAACTCCTACTATTAACTATTATCCCCCACCATTATAGGGCAGAACAGAAGCTTTAAAGCAAAAGACACGAAATGCACTGAAGCTTGAACAGGAAGGTAAAATTTGCATTTGAAGTTATGGCAACAGCTCAGCCCATCACACACTTGCCTCACAAACTTGAAGACCTGAGCTCAACTTCCAATACCCATTTCTATGAGGCCATGGACAGTGGCGATGTGTACTTGAAATTCCAGCACTGGGGAGGCAGAGAAAGGTAGATCCTAGGGTTCAGTGATGACCGTGCAGCCTAACCTGTGTGTTCCGGGTCCCTGTAAGAGACTAAGTCTCAATATTCTAGAGACTATTCTAGGAACAACACCAGGGTCTGACCTCGGTCTCATGCACATGTGTGCACATGCTCACACATGCACGCACACACACTCACACACAAACACACACATTAAAAAAGAGTACTTAGGCAACATTATAAAGGATGAGGAAGGAACTAGTGAAGTAGCCCATTGGGCAGAGCAATGTAGTGTAAGCAGGAGAATGCACACTAGGAATCCCCAGCACCCACATAAAAGCCAGGTCTGCTCATTCATCTGGAACTCTGCAGGAGAAGGAAGGAAAGAAAGGCAGCTTGTTGGAGTTCAAAGGCCAGCCAATCTAGCCAAAGGGGCGAGCTCTAGGCTCACTGGGTGACAATATCTCTCAAAATAGAAAGGGGGAGGGGACCAGAAGACCTCTGACACTGCCCTTTGGCTCACACTAGTATGTGTACACATAGGCATGCACATGTACACTGCACACACAGCTATAAATATGAACACACACACAGAATACATAGAAGCATTTTTTTAAAGGGGGAGACAGTGTATGAAAAAAAAAACAGAAAAACACCATAAAGGCAAATATGATTGCTTAGATAAAAGAAACAAACAAAAAACCCAGTCCCTCTTCCATCTGCCCATTGTGCATCCGTACAATGAGGATTTCTCTCACAGCTACTCCATTCTAACATCTGCCGAACACCTGCCCTAGAGCTAATACCTGCTGGACACCTGTCCTAGAGCTAACATCTGCTGAACACCTGCCCTAGAGCTAATACCTGCTGGACACCTGTCCTAGAGCTAATACCTGCTGAACACCTGCCCTAGAGCTAACATCTGATGAACACCTGCCACAGGCTCCCTCTGCCACTGTGTGTTCACCAAGTCCTAGAGCTAACATCTGCTGAACACCTGCCACAGGCTCCCTCTGCCACTGGGTGTTCACCAAGTCCTAGAGCTAACATCTGCTGAACATCTGCCCTAGAGCTAACACCTGCTGAACACCAGGCTCCCTCTGCCACCACATGTTCACCGAGTCCTAAGCTAACACTTGCCACAAGCTCACTCTGCCACCGCGTGTTCACCAAGTCCTAAAGCTAACATCTGCTGAACACCTGCCCCAGGCTCCCTTTGCCACCGCATGTTCACTGAGTCCTAGAGGTGCCAGGATGTTCAAAGATCCACTGTCAGGGATCTGTCAAGAATTCTAATAAATAGGCCATGAGCTGCTTTAAAAACTCAGCATTTGTCTGTTTCACGTAAGAACTCACTCATTGAACAACTCAGAACCATTGACATCATCAGTAGAATCTGCCTGGGCCATAGCCACAATGCCAGGTTCCTAAGAGCATCTCCATTAAGACCATTCTCTCTGCAAAAACACTGATTTCAAGAAAAACAAACAAATAAACAAGAAACCCATTCTCCTACTGCACAATGTACTTCCTCAAAGAAGCAAGACTTGTGTAGACACATGCTAAGAAATGTGTCAATCTAACAGCCTAAGCTTGTTACCAGAATGAAATTGTAAACACTTAAATAAAAAAATAGGAAATGAAATTTTCCCTGTGGACATTGCCATGGCTTTCCTCACAGACCAACCGTTACACCCATCAGACAATGCTGAGGTATGAAGTGTCAGACAGACTCCATGGGTGAGCAGGAAGGAGGTTTTTGATCCCAGCCCGGTGAACATGGGAATAAGCCTTAGCTCTGAAATCTTAGCCCTCTGACCTCGGGAGAGTTAAATAACCTCCTCTGGCTTCAGTTCCCTTGCCTGTACAGTGGGATTATATGCATCTGCCGAGTGTTATAATAACTAAAGTAAATAGTAAGAAGGCACCTCACAGTCACAGTGCTGTTATATTACGCCAGGCATGGCATAGGTAATAAAATCAGACACAATGAGAAAACTGTGAAACTCGTAAAGTGTAAGTCCATGTGTTTATGTATCAACTCATTGAGCCCCCAGAACATTAATGTGTGGGAGAGACCTGAGGTTCAAGAGTATTAAGCACTTTGCCCGAGATAATCACCTTCTGATTTGTGTGTAAACTCACCTCCTTTAAACCTAGGCAGTCTGATGCCACGATACTCAAGTTAATAATTAAACTACACTGCTTCCCCAAAAAGTACTCAAGACAGCACATATTCATTAAAAAACCATCAGTAGATCACGGTTTCAAAATGAAATACTGAGACAAGAGATGCTTTTTTGTAGATAAGCAGTTTTCCTGCGACAAAATAGTGTTTTATATTCTAAGGGTTATATTAGGCTGTTTTATAATAGACAAATCTGAATACTAAAGCATAATCATTCCTCCAGGAAGAGAAAAGGAGGATACTAGGTCATGGAGCTTAGAAGTTCTCTTGCCACTTGGTCCCTGGCCCTCGCCAGAACTTCTTGACTAGATGCTTGTTTGGAAAATGCAGAGGCCTAGGGAGATAGGTCGAGCATAGCCCGGAAGAAGCCTGAGCTTCTTCAGCAGCACCAACAGAAGGCAGGCACTCCTTCATGGTGGGAGCCAACCGATCGACTGAGCTGCCAGCCAGTCTGGCCGTGAACTGAAATCGGTGAGCCCCAGGTCCCAGTGAGAGAACTCCTATCTGAAATGACAAGGTGGCCAGTTCCTAAGGAACGACACAGAGGCTGAACTCTGCCCTACGTGGGCACTCAAATGTGTGCACACATCCAGGAATGTAGAAAGCACAGAGGCATTTCAATGGCCACATTTTTTTATGAGACAGCATCTCACTATGGAACCATGCCAGTCTCGAACATACAGAGATCTGGCTGCCTCTGTCTCCCGAATGTTAAAGAGATGTGGCGTGACACACAACTGTCTTTTATAACCTGAGACTTTCTGTATGTTTTGAGGTTCACAGATATCTTACTGGCCATTCCTCAAGGTTAATAAGTCATAAGTCAAGAAGACATCTGTTAAATAGAAGGGTGTAGAAGGGGAGACTTCAAAAAGGTCCTTGGCATAATGACCTTTATTAAAAGCTAGCTTTTAAAAAAATATCATTCCCCAAGGCGTGAGTTAGGCAACTGTGAAGGTTGAAGTGGTTCTGAGAAGCTGTCAGACAGACAGACAGACACACAGGAGGGAAGACGCGTGCCCGTCAGGCAGATGAAAGTGGCGACCTCATTAAACTAATGTAGAGCAAAGAATTCAAGCTGAAAGCCGCACAGCATCTAAGGTGCTGAGACACAAGGGAAGAAAACCTAGGACAGAGTCCTCTTCGGGATCTGACGTTCTCTCAGACCTGGGCTCTTCTCTCTCCATGGCCAAGATCAGTGTAATAACAGAGTTGTCCATACTTCATTGCAAAGTTTTCCCATTTTATTTAGCCGTGTGTGTGTGTGTGTGTGTGTGTGTGTGTGTGTGCGTGCACGCGCGCTTTCGTGAAAGAGAGTGTGTGCTCACAAACTCATAGAGGTCAGAGGATAACAGCTTTGTGGAGTGGGATCTCTCCTTCCTCCTATAAGTGGGTTCCAGGGATTGAACTCAGGTTACCCTGCTTGGGCACCAATGCCATTAGCCACTGAGCTTGGCTGAAGTAAAGCCACCCCTTCTGAGGTTTAGGTGCTGTGTCCAAACAAACAGTATCAACAGGAGGAGGGGAGAGGAACACAGCCAATAGTAGTCCGCGTTTCCTATTGGCTGAGAGGAACACTAATGTGGCCTGGCCTCTCAGCAGGTCAGACAGATGGCAAGGCCTGTGGGAGGCAAGCTGGGCTGCCAGGATGCCAATCACGATACGCAGGGAGGCTGAAGGCCAGGCTGAAGTTTTCCAGAACAAAAATGAGAGTGGACTAATATTTGTGTATTTGTGCACCTTTTGGCTTCACAGGAAAAAAAAAATACCAGCCTCACAAAGGTCACATTTATTTGCTTTCTCTCTTCACCTAGAGCCCTACATGCAGACCTGTGCCAAATGTTGAGCAAAAGCTATTTGGACCAGAGAATCCCATGTGCCTGGAAAATATTTTTTCCCATTAACTCATTGCTCATTGTGAAAGCGGCTGTGCTTAGCATAATAAACTTGTCCTCCCTCCTTCCTTTACTTTGAGTATTGCAGTCACTTGCTTTCTTTGATACGGGCTGAACCTGGAGAAGTAGAGTGTCTGGGCGCTACTAAAACTTATCAACAGCTGCTGTGATTTGAGCTTGTTCTGAGAAAATTTTCTTATAATTGCCTTAAACGCAGAATAATCTTAAAATGTTTCTTAGAAACATCCTATAGAGAAATAGGAAC